TTATTGGTAACTTAGAACTAGGTTGAAGATCTTTGGAGCAGTTGGATTACTCGGAAAAAAATGAAGATGGAATGGAATTTTGTCATGGATGAAGCATGGTGAAGGAGGATCTTTGAAGAAGATGAGAACATATCATGAATCTTGAATAACATTAAGGCTTGTCATGAAGATTAAAGCATGAAGATTGATAAAGACTTAGGTTTTGATAATAGATCTCTAGGGTTTTTGTTTTTGATGTAACTGCTTTAATGAATGTCGTGGATATTTGTTTGAATCTTAATGAATGTTTGTAATGGTTTATGAATATGAAACCATGTTTGGTTAAGGCATGACTTTTGAACTTTGAATGGATTATGGATATTAAGAAATGATGAACGGTGATGATATTGAATCTTTGGTGGATGAATATGCCTTGAAACCATGGAATCTTATTTTTGTGACCTTGAATGGAACTTGATACTTGAATTATGATGTAAATGCTTTAATTATGATGATGAGTTTGAATGAGCTTGAAGCAATACTTGAATGAATATATTGGATGAATAATCATGATGAATACTTTAATTTTCTAACTTGAATATCAAGAAATTCACCTTCAAATCATCTTTAACTCCATGAAACTTCTAATTTCAAATGCTCCAAACACAATTAACTTGCCTTACAAGTAATAAGTACTTGAAAGAATAATGGTGTTTTGAACATTAGGAATCCACAACTTCTCTTGTATGGACCTTGATAAAGCATTCCCTTAATATATGTCTTTATCACAATAGCATTTTCTGGAGGAATCATTTTTATGAAGATACAAACAGGGTTTGAAGTAGAAGACCACATTAAACCCTAATCCACTAAGCCTCAATTGATGAACATGATCAAACACAATGAATGTGCAGCTCTATCTTTAGATGTACACTGAGTGAAGAAGTGGCTTAACATTAAAACCATAGTCCATAGTCTTCTCAGTTAGAATCATTGATGAAAGTCCTAGTATTTGAAGTTTGATGAATCTTGATAAAGAAAAGTAATGCATCTTGATGAGAAAGAAGCTCACAATGAATGACCAAACCTTAATTCAATGATCCTCAATTGAAGCATAATAGATGAAAACTCTAATTCTGAGGTAGACTTATGCAAGAAAGCCTCTCACGCTGAGGAGAAATCCAAATTCACTCCATATACTCAAATACAAAAGATTGAAACCCTGATCTTCTGAGAAATACAGAGAAAAAAACTATGATTCAAGACCTTGGTGAATTTTGGAGAATAGCCTTGTAGCTTGATGAAGAAAAGATCCACAACAAACATGAATCAAAACCCCAATTCTGCATTCCATTGCTTAATGAAGAATCAGATGAATCAATTTTATTTCATATGTACACCTCAAACCAACAAAAACTCTGACTTGCATAACCACTGATCTTTTGAACCAAGGTGTCTTATTGAATGAATGCATGATTATGCAAATTACCTAATGGGATGTATGAAGATGAATGCAAAGTCTAAATCAGATAAAAGTAAAAGGGTGGGACAAATTTAGTGTATGACAACCAGATTGAGAAAGTATGTTTGTCCATTTAAACCGCGTAAATATTGTAGTGTGGAAGAGATGTGGAAATTTGATGTGCTTTCTGAAATACATAACCATGACTTGCAAATAAAGCTAGACGGTAATTCCATCGTATGTCGTCTTAAATCGAAGGAGAAGGAAATTGTTTCAAAGATGTCTTTAAACAGAGTGGTGTCAAAAAACATACTTGTAAAGTTGAAACAAAACACCCAAAAAGTATTTCAAATATCAAGCAGGTATACAATCAACGTCAACAAAACAACATGGCGATTAGGGATCCAAGATCCGAAATGCAACAACTTTTGAAGCTTTTGGATGAAAACCATTATGTATTGGTACATAATATATGATGATAAAGCCATTGACCATGACATTTTCTGAACTCCTCACGAAAGTATCAATTTGTTTAACACATTTCCTATTATCCTCATTATTGATGCAACGTATAAGACGAACAAGTATAGGTTACCGCTTGTCGATTCATATTTTAAACATGTTGGTTCATATGACAATACATATTTTGTCATATTTCAAGATGACAATAGAACAAAGCAGTCTCCATCATACTTTGAACATGTTGATTCACATTTTTTAGATTCTCCAACTCCAAAATCTCAAAAAGTGTTCAAAAGGATGCTCACATTAGCAAACCATATCCACCAACTCCACCACATCTTCCACCTCTGATGCCCAAGATTAAATTCATTGATAAAATGTCACTTTTTATGCACAACCACATTGAGCGGACTGTGAATGTCGGGGATGATGGTAAATGCAGTTTTCGAGCCGTATCCGGGTTGCTCGGTAAAGGAGAGGAGGATCACCAACTTGTTCGAGCCGCACTTTTGAAAGAGTTGACGATATATAGAGAATTCTACACGGAGTTATATAGGACAAAAGAAAATTTTGATTCAATTCAAGATGCACTTATTCCTTGTGTTAACGGTAACACACCATTTTCAAAATGGACGCGCTTTCCTGAAACGGGCCATCTTATAGCAAGTGTATATGACCGAGTGCGTATCGTTCTAACAAGATATGGATTCTCGGAGACATTTTTTCCATGTGGTCCACCTAGAAACCCTTCTAGCCACATCACGTGCATAAGATTTCTTTCAAAAAAGCTACATTTTGTTTAGGTTTATTTGAAACCTTGGTGTCCAATACCAACTACATCGATGGAATGTACGACAAATTCAACAAATAAGGTAGAAACTTGGCCGGACCAATTTATGGAGAGGATGCTAGAGTTAACCAAATTGATGGAGCTTGAAAGAGAATCAAATAAGGAAACATCGAAGGTGGAACCTACTGTAGATTTATATGGTACTAGATCTTTTGATGCATTTTAGATTGTAATCGATATATTTTTTGTATGTATTATCACCAACGATGTAATCTTTATACGATTTAATACATATTAATTTTATGGTTTGCTTTTGGTTTACATTGCATGTGTTTGTTTACACAATTTCTATTCTATATATCTCTGAATTTACTTCATTCAGTTTTCAATTTTGTATCTCCAAAGTCACCCTTTTTATAATAAAAATGTGAGGTTTATTCAAAGATGTATTTATGAAATTCAACCTGATACATGATAACTTTTTGAGGTCCAAAGTGACCAAATACTTGTATAAATAGGATGTGTCTCAATCCTTATTTGTTGCACATCACACTAAAACCAGATAATAAGCTCATATCTCCATCTTGCATTTGTGTATTTCAATAGCGAGAAGCTGACACTTCCGTTTAGGGTCACCGAGGAAACATCACTCACAAATCTAATATCCAAACTGAATACTCTCCTGCGCTTTCCAGAAAATTACAAAGTTGTCAAGCTTGAGTATCAGTCACCCTCGTTTGAAAATGAAGGGAAGATCCATTTCACCAACCTTGAACTTAAGACGGATGAAGATTTAAACGTTACCTGGAGTATTTTTCTCTGTTATGAATCAAAGGGCCCGATTGAAGTGAATGTGAAAATTCAAAGATCTGTCGTAGATATAATCATTATGTTACAACATACCGATGAAATGGTTATATAATGTTGAATTTATTTTAATGAATAGCTATGTAATGAATGTTTTTTATCTAATGCAATATTGATGTTGGTGCTGGTGTTGGTTTGCAATAGTTCTGTCATGTTTATGTTTTTGAATTTTTGAAACCAAACATGTTTAAAGATATATCTCTGAATACACCCTTAAAAAGACTCGTATCTCCAAATTTTATTTAGAAAAAAATAGAATTTGGTGTGTCCAGAGATGTATCTTCGAAAACTAGGGACATTTTAGAAATTTTACATAGAACTTACAAGAAAGAGTAAGGGTGCAATGAGAAATTGCCTAAAATTATACTGCTATAATTTGTATTTAGTAATCAGTTCTCGTTTACTAACACGATAAGAAATTAGTGAAAGATCGAAAGATCATTGACCAGTGTGTGTGAAAAATCATTTATCAAGAAAAATCAAACTCTTAAATAAAATCAATCTCCACAATTATACACTTATATATTTTGATTTTAAAAATTAAGATAAAATTAGGGCGGTTCATGGTACAATTCAGAGAGAAAATCGAACCGAACTAAATTAAACCATAATAAGAGTTCATTCGAACTAAACTGAACCGTTTCAATTTATCCAGAACCGAGCCGAACCAAAATTATTAGTTTGATATACTGTTTCAAAATTCCGAACATACCAAACCGTTATAAGACGTTTTTCCCGAGCCGGACCGTTTATTAAAGAACCGAACCATTAAACAATTTTTTTAAAAATTAAAACTTATTTTTAATATTTTTCATTTTTCATTTTGATTCGGTTCAGTTTCAATTTGATTCTAGAACTATTTGTGTAATATGATTTAGTTTATTAATCAAATATAACAATTTGATTGTTTTAATTTCAGTTTGATTCGATTTGATGATTTAATTCAATTTATGATTTTTTTTGAAAAACCCTAGATAAAACCATAGTTAAAAAGGAAAAAAACATTAATAAAGCAGTGTTTTTATCATTTATGTACGGCGTTTATTTTAAACAAAAAAAATAAATCTCCTTTACTTCAAAATACGGATAAAAAGAGAAAGAAATAAACATTAAAAAGGTTAAATGAAATTATGCGGTGAGCGTGGATCGAACACGCGACCTTCAGATCTTCAGTCTGACGCTCTCCCAACTGAGCTATCCCCGCTTCTTGAAAATTTCTTACAGCTTGAAAATCCCTTTCAAAACAATTACCTTCATTTTACAGTATCTACTGAAATATAATGATAGAATACAAGTGAAAAGACTTGGTCGGAGCAAGCACGGTAACAGAAAGAAACCAGGAATGATAGAAACGGTGTCACCACGTTAGCAGAACCTTACCAGTTTTGATTCAAGCAGATCCAGATCAGACTCCCACTCTCATAACCATTTAGATCTACAATGGAGTGGGAAGGTGCAGTTTCAGGATCGGATATGGAGGTTCCTATTCCTCTTCCTCTAGCCTCTGAATCGCAACAACCCTACGTCTCTGAACTTCTCTCCTTCACTCTCGATCGCCTTCACAAGGAACCCGAACTTCTCCGTGTCGATGCCGAACGGATCCGTCGCCAAATGCAAGAGGTCGCCGTTGGGAATTACCGCTCCTTCATTGCCGCTGCTGATGCATTGCTTGCTATTCGTCATGAAGTCTCGTCTATTGACAATCATCTTGAATCTATGGTATTCTTTCTTTCCTGATTTCCGACTCAACACTCACACTTGTGTTTTACCTTCAATTTATTCATTTTTCAAATTATTACTGGTGTTTCCATGTGTATGTGGTGTGTCCTGTGTTTCCATGTGTATGTGGTGTGTCCTGTGTTGGTGTTTGTGTCACTGCTTAGTCTAAATTGAGTTTATTTTATGAATTGTTTTTAAGTGAATTAGGGACTATATTGTTATTGAGTTTAATTGATATGCACCGACAATGTAAAATAGTTATATTTTGCAGTGTCATCTAATAGAAAACAAACAATCTGCCATGTCATTTAATTCTTTTTAAAATAAAAGTGTGTTTTAATTGGACACATGATTGTGATTGATTGACAGTGTAAAACTATTTTACATGGTCGATGCATCAACCTTTTTCTCATTGTTATTTTATAGAGTTCAAGCACATTATTCCTGATTATTTTTTTTTAAACTGGGGGAGGAAACTATAGATACATACATTTTTGCAGGTTTTTTCAAGAAATTCATATAGCTCTGTGCAATAGTGTGCAATTTCTTTCATTGGGTTTCAATTTATAGAATATATTGAGTTTTTAGAATTAGAAGCGAGAACTACAAGAAAAATGTAATGCACTAAGTTGTGATGGAAGGTGTGCTGTTTTAGTTACTAATAGGGAATCCCAAAAATGTAATGCACTAAGTTGTGATGGAAGGTGTGCTGTTTTATTTACTAATAGGGAATCCCAACCTTCAGCTTGCGGGATTAAAGGGAATAGTACACCGGGATAACTCCCTAATAGAAAGTAGTGAAATAAGAACAAGAATAGAGCAGAGGGAGAATAAGAATGTCAGTGACTCACTTATTCCATGACCTCATCTCAGTCGGTCACTCTATTCATATAGTGTTGTTACTCATACCCAAATCCAATCAGCCTACAATTGGCTACATGGTTTCTCTTTCCTTTTCCACCTTCCGGAATTTCCATGTCCGTTGTAAGTAATTCTTGGCTCACATGGTCACATAGCTGCCTTCTAGAACCTGATTGTGCTGACTCAGTGGCGTTGTTCATTAGATTACCGTCCCATTCAATCAATGCCTTGTCCTCATGGTTGAAACTAAGAAAATTCTCTCGTATGTCAGCAGTATTTTCCCAAGTGGCTGCAGTGCTGGGCAAGTTTCCGCTGAATAAGGAAATGTGGAATATGTGTGGTGCTTTGAAGGAGTATTCTGGACTGCAGGACTTTAGCAGGGTGAACCATGGGACCCAGGCCTGATGTAGTACAGAGGTAATGACACATATTGCTCATTTGGAGTTCCATGAAACTGTTTCTTCTGTGAAGTATGGAAGACCTTACATTAGGCATATACTGAAGTAATGTTGGAGGCTTTCAACCATAGAGGGCTTTGAATGGGGTCATGCCAATACTTGTACGAAATTATATATAGTACCAGAACTCAGCCAAAGTTAATGTTTTGTACCATGACTTAGAATTGGTGAAAATGAAACACCTTAGGTACATCTCCAAGCATTTATTAAGATATTCTGATAGACTGTCAGTTTGGGGATGATATGCAGAACTCATATCTAAAGTGGTGCCTTGTAGCTGAAATAGATTCTTCTAGAAACTGCATGTAAACACCTCGTCTCTATCATATCTACCGCCATCGACTAAGAGTTGAACCATAATACTGCCGATTTGGCCTTTGAAACACAAGGTTTCTATGTTGTTGTCTTTTGTTTTGTTTGGAAAACTCAGTAGGTTCCTATGTTGTTACTTGTTAGTCCCTTTCAAATCATTTAAGTACAAGTTGTGCTCTCCCGAGTCAACCGTAAGAGGTGAAAATGGTGGGTCGGGCATATCCGTGTCTGCTTCCATCTCAACCTCGTCTTCAAGTTGCAATAGCAGGAACTGTTTGTTAGGGAATTTGTGAGAAAAGGAAAATTCTCATCCCAAAAATAACACCGTGATATGCAACTTGCGCCGGAGCTGCATATCTGCTGGCGTGATGCTTTTGATGTTGCCATTCTGTTAGTTTGGGTGCATTTGATTGAAAGGATAGGTGGTGTTTCTTTTGATGTTGCCATTCTGTTGGTTTAGGTGCATTTGATTGAAAGGATAGGTGGTGTTTGGAGTAGGAGGGATTTGTGATTTGGGTGTGAAAGTAGTGAGTTCGGATCTATTAGAATAAAAGTGGGCTCTATTTGGGCCGGTGGAGTGATTGGGCTGGGCCTTTGTGAATTTGGACGGGGTGTAGATCATAGCGTCTCTACGTATCTCTGGCACAAGGCTTCTAATGAAGCAGTTTATTAACGCATCGTTGCTTAAGCCACCCACTCGGTTAGCAAGGGTTGTAAATACCTACGGTGCCGGACTGTTGTAGCTAAAAACTGGTAGCATGGGAACATTCATAGATTGATGGCTCAAAATCCAGCTCCAGTGCTCTGTTGGATGCTTACCTAGTTACCATGACTGAAATGGTTGTGATGGAAGGAGCGTTTGGAACCACGGTACAATCTCTTAGTCCAAGTAAACAGAAGCGATGGTTAAGCGATCAGGAACGGCGTAGTCGAAGAACTGCCCGCACTTGAAAATCCACTCCATGCCATTTTTTTCTGTTGAAGCGAGGAAAATCAAACCTTTGAAACGGAGGTTTCAATGAGTTATGGGCACCATGGGAAGAGTTTTGGGCAAGAGTGTTCCCTTGTTATAAACTTTCTAAGGCTTTGTTGGTAATGGTTAATTTGTCCACATTGGTATCTTCGATCCGATCCATTGAGTTTGCCGATCGGAGTAGTTCTATGTCATTGTCTCGACATTTTATTTAACTTGTGGGAAGCTCCTTCAACCTAGTGTTTTCTGACATGGTGAGATGAAAGCACCAATTGTAATGCACTAATAGCAAGTGATGGAAGGTGTATTGTTTTAATTATTCTAATATGGAACCTCATCCTTCAGCTGGTAAGACTGAAGGGAATAGTACACGGGGATACATCCCTAAAAGATAGTAGTGAAATCAAAACAAGAAGTACAGAACAGAGGGAGAATAAGATTGTCAATGACTCACTAATTCCATGACCTCGCCTCAGCATCCCAGTCTATTCATATAGTGTTGTACTCACACAAATCCTCTCAGCCTACAATTAGTAGCTTCACGTTTTTTCTTTCTTTTTCCACGTCCAGAATTTCTGCGTCTGTTGTAACTAGTTCTTGGCTCACATGGTCACCTGGCTGCCTTCTAGAACTCGATTGTGCTGACTCAGCTGCTTGGTTCATTACAAACAACCATAGATCTGTCCCATTTGGTGACGTTGGTTAATGTAATTGAACTTGAAAAGTGAAGGACAAGTAGAAAAGAAAAGGATTTGTATGGAATATTTATCCTCTTCCTGAATCTGAACTAAGATGATTACAGAACTAGAATAGAAGATAAAAGGGAAAGCAGAAGTGAAACTCAGCTGCAGAAAATTGATTAGTCCCGGCTTCCCTAGTCAACATCTACTACAAATCTACTCTAACCAGTATTATTTCTGTCCCACAGTTGATCCTCTATTTTCTCTCCCTCAATTTTCTGATTAGGATGTGACTTCTAATTAAAGAAACTGTTACTGTAAGCAAAATTGAACTGACCCTGTTTCTTCAGAACAGATCTATCCCGGTACTTTCCCTTATCCTTTCTGACATAAAATGTTTTGATAGGGAGCTTTTTAACAGTTTCCTCAACTGATATTTTTAAGATAAATAACCCCTTGTCCTATAGCCATGTCTTTGGTATTGGTATAGTAGAAAAAGAGGGAAGCGAATTTGGAGAGAGAGAAAATTGGGTCTCCCTTTTTGCAATCTCTGCATTCTGTGAAGGAGCACCTTTTGGCCCTTCCACTAATATCCTTGTCTCTTCCACACTTTCGTGCCCTTGCCACAAGCTGTGTCTTCTTTGTGCTAATACCACCAGTGTCTTCTCCTCACTAACAAGCATCATCTTCTCTGCCCTTACACCTTTGTGCAGTGGTTGGTCACTAATCAAGATGTTTTGAAGCAATGGTTGGTTGTATTAGATTTGGGTGGTAGGGTCTTGGGATTACCTAGGGGAGGTGTCCCGGGTCATGTGTATGTGTATGTGTATGGGGAGCAATGTTTTTGCAATGGAGCTTGGTAATCTGGTAGAATTTCTAATGGTCCATGTCCATGATGAGTACTCCGACCCGATTTTTTGTGGTTTTCTAGTTTGGTGTTGATTTGTATTAGAGATATGCTAGCTAGACCTTTTTAGATCTTGCACTTGTGCCTAACTAATAACAAACTGTTTTTGTTAGTTATCCTAGTGACTGACATCTGTCAGCTTGTAATAGGAAACCTGCTATAGCAGGTAAACTGTTTGCATCTATAATTGTAAACAGTTTCTCTCTCTTGTAACTAACTTATCATAAAGGAAAAATCAGTTGCAACTGAAAATGTTCTCTATATTTTCTACTAATTTGGATCTGAATTTGATAGAAGCAGAGGTCTAAGATGTGGGGTGCTGGGGTTTACAATGGTTCTATTTTTCCTGCTTAAGTTTTCTCAAGAGTAGACTCTGATTTCATGGAAGTGTGTGCTAATAACTAAATATTGCATTTGCTGGCCACCTAACCGTTCTCAAAGGATAATACGGACAACCACTAGAAGTGTAATGTAATCTGTTACTTTTATTTTACCACAATGCTAATAATAAATTATTGGGTTTATCTCTAGTATTATATTATCACATTGTTGACTTGAGGGGGTAATCTGTTAATCATGTATGCCCGACAGGTAATCAATAACTACATGTATTAATCGTTTAAGTATTGCACTATAAATTGGTAATCAATCATTTTAAACTGGGACATCTATTTCATGGCCAAACAGTCTTTTGCTTTCTACTTATATGGGTATATTTGTACTTAAGTTAACACTTATTTCCTTATTCTCACTTTTCAATCCAGCCAAACAAATGGAGAGAGAACTTAATATTCATTTCTTCTCGTTTTCATTCATGCTAAATAATATAAATATCTACTCTTTTTCACCTTTTGCTTTCTCCTCCTTTCTCCCTCTTCTCCACAACCAAACAATGTGTAAATTCTTTATAATAGTCATGGCTTCACCCCGTGATAATGAATTTCTTCTATGTGTATGATAGAGACTTAGGTGAAGAAGTTGGGCTTGACTTTGGGCCTAAGCCAAAAGTGTGGAGGGTTTATACTAGAAGACGTGGCAAAGGAATAAAGGAATAGATTGTAGGAGTTTGTTACGATAAAATAGGGAAGAGAGAGAGAGAGAGAATAATTATAGGAGTTGTTACTATAATTAATCCTATAATTAATGAGTTTGTTACTATAAAATAGGGAAGGAAGAGAGAGAATAATTAGCTAAGTTTATGACTATAAAATAGGGAGGAAATAAGGTATCTAGGTATTCTATTTTTTGATTTGAGAATCACCGTCTTGGTGAGGGAAGCACTGCGTGCTTAGGGGCTGATAGATATTCTCTATCAGTTTATTATTTTCATCACCGTTACTTCTTTGTAATTGTTCGTCCGTAATAATACAATTACAACATTCTTTTACTATTCTACTCATATATTCATTGTTCACTCATATATTCATATAAGAACCCATCAATTGGTCCGACCTGCCGGATTCGAAACGCACCCGTGACGGAGATTGTTCATGACAAGGATGAGTGACAAAATTGAAGCTTTGGAAACACAGATGGAGAGTGTGACAACAACGTTGCAAGGGCTGGCTCTACAAATGCAACAACACGCTCAACAGATGCAACAACAAAGCTTGATTTTAACTGAATTGAGCAAGCAGATAGGTCAGAAGGGAGTGACTCATCAGGAGGATGACACCTCTGTTCGTCATTCATCACAGAGCGTGTCTCGCCTTGCCGGGAAAAAGGTGAAGCTTCCGGTGTTTGAAGGTGAGGACCCTGTTGCGTTGATTACGCGCGCGGAGATTTACTTTGATGTGCAAAACACTCCGGATGAGATGCGTGTGAAGCTGTCCCGTTTGAGCATGGAGGGTTCAACAATACATTGGTTTAACTTGTTACTGGAAACAGAGGATGACCTCTCTTGGGAAAAACTTAAGAAGGCCTTAATTGCGCGCTATGGCGGGCGACGCTTAGAAAACCCGTTTGAAGACACTGTGTTTACTGACCACAAAAACTTGAAACACTTCCTTCAACAAAGAATTTCCTCACCAGATCAACAATGTTGGTTAGCTAAGTTGCTTGGGTACCAATTTGAAGTCAAATATAAGCCAGGAGGTGAGAATAAAGCTGCTGATGCTTTATCCAGATGTTATGGGGATGTGGAAATGAATTCTATAGTCTCTTACCCAAAATGGTTGGAGGGTCAGAAATTGTTACAAGTGCAACAGGATCTAGGAATTCAGAAGATCATTGCTGAATTGATGGCCTCACCAGATGCTAGGCCAGGTTATACTGTGCAACAGGGTACCTTATTTTATCATGGCAGGTTGGTCTTGTCCCCAAACTCTCCTTCAATCCCATTGTTGTTACAAGAATTTCACAGCACACCTACAAGAGGTCATTCTGGGTACCTCAGAACCTATAGAAGGTTGGCTGAGAATTTATATTGGGTGGGAATGCAAAGACAGGTCAGAGATTTTGTGAGAGCTTGTGACATATGCCAGAGACAAAAGTATGCAGCTACTACCCCAGGTGGTCTCCTACAGCCTCTTCCTATTCCCAATGCCATTTGGGAGGATTTGTCCTTAGACTTTATCACTGGCCTTCCAAAATCTAAGGGTTATGCAGCTGTACTTGTGGTAGTGGACAGACTATCTAAGTACAGTCACTTTATCCTTCTAAAACACCCCTACACTGCCAAGTCCATAGCAGAGTTATTTGTGAAGGAGATTGTCAGACTCCATGGTATTCCTACTTCTATTATCAGTGATAGAGACCCCTTGTTTGTGAGTCATTTTTGGATGGAATTGTTCAAGTTACAAGGTACCAAATTAAAGATGAGCTCTGCCTACCACCCAGAAACTGATGGGCAAACCGAGGTGTTAAATAGATGCTTGGAGAGTTATCTAAGGTGTTTTGCATCGGAACAGCCGAAGTCCTGGTCTCACTGGCTTCCCTGGGCAGAATATTGGTATAACACTACTTTTCATGTTTCTATTGGGAAGACACCTTTTGAAGTGGTGTATGGAAGACTACCTCCCAGCTTGTTAAGATTTTTAAGCAACGAGACAAAGGTAGCTGCTGTGGCTTTGGAGTTAAGTGAAAGGGATG